CAAACGATTCTCGATGAGAATCAATCAGAAAATTTGGGTTTGGTTGAAACGGGAATATTCGGATTTTTCAAAGTCCCGTAACTTTTTTTTGAAGCAACTACAAACGAAAATTCTTTCACTACAATCAACTACAAACGATTCTCGATGAGAATCAATCAGAAAATTTGGGTTCGGATGAAACGGGATTATACGGACTTTTCAAAGTCCCGTAACTTTTTTTTGAAGCGACTACAAACGAAAATTCTTTCACTACAATCAACTACAAACGATTCTCGATGAGAATCAATCAGAAAATTTGGGTTTGGTTGAAACGGGATTATTCGGATTTTTCAAAGTCCCGCAACTTTTTTTTGAAGCAACTACAAACGAAAATTCTTTCACTACAATCAACTACAAACGATTCTCGATGAGAATCAATCAGAAAATTTGGGTTTGGTTGAAACGGGATTATTCGGATTTTTCAAAGTCCCGTAACTTTTTTTTGAAGCAACTACAAACGAAAATTCTTTCACTACAATCAACTACAAACGATTCTCGATGAGAATCAATCAGAAAATTTGGGTTCGGATGAAACGGGATTATACGGACTTTTCAAAGTCCCGTAACTTTTTTTTGAAGCGACTACAAACGAAAATTCTTTCACTACAATCAACTACAAACGATTCTCGATGAGAATCAATCAGAAAATTTGGGTTTGGTTGAAACGGGATTATTCGGATTTTTCAAAGTCCCGTAACTTTTTTTTGAAGCAACTACAAACGAAAATTCTTTCACTACAATCAACTACAAACGATTCTCGATGAGAATCAATCAGAAAATTTGGGTTTGGTTGAAACGGGATTATTCGGATTTTTCAAAGTCCCGTAACTTTTTTTTGAAGCAACTACAAACGAAAATTCTTTCACTACAATCAACTTCAAACGATTCTCGATGAGAATCAATCAGAAAATTTGGGTTCGGATGAAACGGGATTATACGGACTTTTCAAAGTCCCGTAACTTTTTTTTGAAGCGACTACAAACGAAACTTCTTTCACTACAATCAACTACAAACGATTCTCGATGAGAATCAATCAGAAAATTTGGGTTTGGTTGAAACGGGATTATTCGGATTTTTCAAAGTCCCGTAACTTTTTTTTGAAGCAACTACAAACGAAAATTCTTTCACTACAATCAACTACAAACGATTCTCGATGAGAATCAATCAGAAAATTTGGGTTCAGTTGAACCGGGATTATTCGGATTTTTCAAAGTCTCATAACTTTTTTTTGAAGCAACTACAAACGAAAATTCTTTCACTACAATCAACTACAAACGATTCTCGATGAGAATCAATCAGAAAATTTGGGTTTGGTTGAAACGGGATTATTCGGATTTTTCAAAGTCCCATAACTTTTTTTTGAAGCAACTACAAACGAAAATTCTTTCACTACAATCAACTACAAACGATTCTCGATGAGAATCAATCAGAAAATTTGGGTTTGGTTGAAACGGGATTATTCGGATTTTTCAAAGTCCCGTAACTTTTTTTGAAGCAACTACAAACGAAAATTCTTTCACTACAATCAACTACAAACGATTCTGGATGAGAATCAATCAGAAAATTTGGGTTCGGATGAAACGGGATTATACGGACTTTTCAAAGTCCCGTAACTTTTTTTTGAAGCAACTACAAACGAAAATTCTTTCACTACAATCAACTACAAACGATTCTCGATGAGAATCAATCAGAAAATTTGGGTTCAGTTGAACCGGGATTATTCGGATTTTTCAAAGTCCCATAACTTTTTTTTGAAGCAACTACAAACGAAAATTCTTTCACTACAATCAACTACAAACGATTCTCGATGAGAATCAATCAGAAAATTTGGGTTCGGATGAAACGGGATTATACGGACTTTTCAAAGTCCCGTAACTTTTTTTTGAAGAAACTACAAACGAAAATTCTTTCACTACAATAAACTACAAACGATTCTCGATGAGAATCAATCAGAAAATTTGGGTTTGGTTGAAACGGGATTATTCGGATTTTTCAAAGTCCCGTAACTTTTTTTTGAAGCAACTACAAACGAAAATTCTTTCACTACAATCAACTACAAACGATTCTCGATGAGAATCAATCAGAAAATTTGGGTTTGGTTGAAACGGGATTATTCGGATTTTTCAAAGTCCCGTAACTTTTTTTTGAAGCAACTACAAACGAAAATTCTTTCACTACAATCAACTACAAACGATTCTCGATGAGAATCAATCAGAAAATTTGGGTTCGGATGAAACGGGATTATACGGACTTTTCAAAGTCCCGTAACTTTTTTTTGAAGCGACTACAAACGAAACTTCTTTCACTACAATCAACTACAAACGATTCTCGATGAGAATCAATCAGAAAATTTGGGTTTGGTTGAAACGGGATTATTCGGATTTTTCAAAGTCTCATAACTTTTTTTTGAAGCGACTACAAACGAAACTTCTTTCACTACAATCAACTACAAACGATTCTCGATGAGAATCAATCAGAAAATTTGGGTTTGGTTGAAACGGGATTATTCGGATTTTTCAAAGTCCCGTAACTTTTTTTTGAAGCAACTACAAACGAAAATTCTTTCACTACAATCAACTACAAACGATTCTCGATGAGAATCAATCAGAAAATTTGGGTTTGGTTGAAACGGGATTATTCGGATTTTTCAAAGTCCCATAACTTTTTTTTGAAGCAACTACAAACGAAAATTCTTTCACTACAATCAACTACAAACGATTCTCGATGAGAATCAATCAGAAAATTTGGGTTTGGTTGAAACGGGATTATTCGGATTTTTCAAAGTCCCATAACTTTTTTTTGAAGCAACTACAAACGAAAATTCTTTCACTACAATCAACTACAAACGATTCTCGATGAGAATCAATCAGAAAATTTGGGATAGGTTGAAACGGGATTATTCGGATTTTTCAAAGTCCCGTAACTTTTTTTGAAGCAACTACAAACGAAAATTCTTTCACTACAATCAACTACAAACGATCCTCGATGAGAATCAATCAGAAAATTTGGGTTCGGATGAAACGGGATTATACGGACTTTTCAAAGTCCCGTAACTTTTTTTTGAAGCAACTACAAACGAAAATTCTTTCACTACAATCAACTACAAACGATTCTCGATGAGAATCAATCAGAAAATTTGGGTTCAGTTGAACCGGGATTATTCGGATTTTTCAAAGTCCCATAACTTTTTTTTGAAGCAACTACAAACGAAAATTCTTTCACTACAATCAACTACAAACGATTCTCGATGAGAATCAATCAGAAAATTTGGGTTCGGATGAAACGGGATTATACGGACTTTTCAAAGTCCCGTAACTTTTTTTTGAAGAAACTACAAACGAAAATTCTTTCACTACAATAAACTACAAACGATTCTCGATGAGAATCAATCAGAAAATTTGGGTTTGGTTGAAACGGGATTATTCGGATTTTTCAAAGTCCCATAACTTTTTTTTGAAGCAACTACAAACGAAAATTCTTTCACTACAATCAACTACAAACGATTCTCGATGAGAATCAATCAGAAAATTTTGGTTCAGTTGAACTGGGATTATTCGGATTTTTCAAAGTCCCATAACTTTTTTTTGAAGCAACTACAAACGAAAATTCTTTCACTACAATCAACTACAAACGATTCTCGATGAGAATCAATCAGAAAATTTGGGTTCAGTTGAACCGGGATTATTCGGATTTTTCAAAGTCCCATAACTTTTTTTTGAAGCAACTACAAACGAAAATTCTTTCACTACAATCAACTACAAACGATTCTCGATGAGAATCAATCAGAAAATTTGGGTTTGGTTGAAACGGGATTATTCGGATTTTTCAAAGTCCCATAACTTTTTTTTGAAGCAACTACAAACGAAAATTCTTTCACTACAATCAACTACAAACGATTCTCGATGAGAATCAATCAGAAAATTTGAGTTTGGCCGAATCGGGGTGCTAACGATTTTTTGAAGTCCCATAACTTTTTTTTGAAGCCACTACAAACGAAATAATTTTTACTACAATCAACTACATACGAAAGCCTTCAAGAATCGTTAAGAAAAAATTTGATTTTCAAAAGTCGGGTGCTAGGTTCACACAGCTAGCAAATTGTTAATTATTATATAACACAGACTATCCCAGTATTATTAAATATACCCAGTAAGAGAGAAAATAAATAAATAAATAATCTTTGAAAGGGATTGCATCCATTTACTGCATGACAAGTTTACTACAATATTTTAGCTAGACTTAAATTAGTGATTTACCCTCAGAGTGCCCATTTGATTAAATATGGGTTACTCATTGCAGCTTTTATATAATTTCTGCTGTTCAAAAAAATTTATTGCTGTTCAGAATGATATAAATTGCAGTTGAAATTAAGTTGCTGCCCAACTAGTTGTTTTGGCTAACCAATTAAAGGAGATGGTTTAAAAGTGATAGTCGGTTTTCGGCAAAGTTGAAAAATACATAATTTGAAAGCTTATTTTATGTACTAACATGAACAGAGAGTATTATTTATCTCCAATTAATTTTAAATTGTATTTGAAAATTTAACAATTTCGTAAGGATTATGGTCTCCAGTCTTAAGTTACATCATATTTTTAGTCTGCAGCTGCTTGCAGTCCAGTCATGCATGATATTCATGAAATTGTAGTAAAATTATTATACCAATTTATGATTGATTCTACTTAAAATAAAATACCCTCCCTCCATACAAATTTGAACCTTTTTTGCTACTAAAAATTAGGTTACTTTGCCAACCATTTAAGTAACACCATATTACAAATTCATTTATTATTTTTTCTTGTACCAGCTGTTTTACATGACATGGAAAAGATTTTATATCACTTCTAGTCTGGACTGCTGGAGCACATAATCATAATATCATAACCTACAATAAAAGTTTTTTAAATTTTGTATCAGCAAATCAACAATTCCATATTGTTATTTTATTGTTTTAAATTTAATAGGAAAACAAGAGAAGATACTTGCCAATGAAATAGCAGAGCATGAGTTAAAAGTAGAGCAACTGGTGTGCGCACCCCTAACAACTATCAGTGATCAAGACCTACCTGCTATTATGAAAGCAAAGAAACAGCTGAGCAGATTGATAAGTGAGAAAGAGATTGCAGCTAGTAGATACCACGTAAGTCAGTCACATTTGTAACTGTTATATTATTTAAGATCATGATTTACACATACACTCTTCCTATTGTTATATTGTACTGCTGTCTCAATTCTTATTAGTAATTTTCTAATTGGATAAAATATCTTACTAGATAATGTGACTTCTAAAAGTTTTATGCATTCAGTGTTAAAGTTCAGCAACTTTAGAAACAGCAGGTCATAAGATGTGTCACCATAATGATGTTATCTGTGATTTTCTCATGCTTTGAAATGCCACAACTGTCATTAATCCTGCTGCTTATGCAGTTGCTACGTAATTATGGTTCTTATCTATAAGTATTTCCCATGCCTCAACAGTATGGACTTTAATAGACTACTGAAGATTTAATGAACCTATGTATCTGCAGCATCTAGAACGCCAAAAAGAAGAGAATCCGACAAAACTAAACGCGGCGAGAGAGGAATTAGAAGAAGCAGGCACCCGTGTAGAGTCAGCTCGTGACGCACTAGCTGCTGACATGTTCGCACTAGTCGCTAAAGAAGCGCAACTTGCTCATACACTACTGCAGTATGTAAAGCTGCAGAGAGCGTATCACGAGTCTGCACTTCACTCGTTGCAAGATACCGTGCCTGAGCTGGAAAGATTCATTAGTGAGTAATATTCTTTGTTATTTAAATGAAAAGGGCAATTTGAGGAGATTTCGCCGATGGGCAGCGGAAGGCGCTGGTTCGAATCCAGCCTGAAACCTAGATCGAGTTTTATTTTTGTAAATTCTCTTTAGGAAGGCAAACAATCATATGACCAGCCTAACCGTAACTAAGTTGACCCTTAAGTCTTGCTGTAACTAGTTATAGGTAAACCGCTTAACATTGGTGGCATGCACATTCTTGTCAAAATTACAAGTGCCCGCCGCCCGCACCTCTCACGGTCCCCGCTCTCGTCCTCCCCCACACCCTGTACCCCCCAGGCGAGGTCTCAGTTAAACCACGGTAATATTATATACAGTATTCAATCTTCATACAAACGGTTGGAAAGCGAATCATACCTACGCCACTCGAGTACGCCAGTCGCGAATGCGCCGCAGCGACGACCGAACGATGCGAATTGTTTTTTATGCAGTTAACCGTGCTTAAACGTGCGAATTGTATTGTAAATAAGTAGATACCTACATAATTTAATATGGCACAGAACAAACTACGATATTGTGCTGTTTTTGGTTGCTTGAACTCTTCAATAACGCACCCAGAGATATCAATTTTTAAATTACCTGAAATATTGGAAAGCTAAGACTATAGAATATTTTTTTATATACCTATCTACTAGTACGTAATTTGTTTTTAATATTTAGGCATTTCGATTTTTCCATCGGGCAAAATATCTGGAATAATATATAAATAAGTGGATAGGTTGAAAAAAGAGACAAACGAGTAATCTACCTACACTCGCGTTAAAAACAAAACTACATAATAGGTAGGTAGTTTTCTAGACTAGGCTATCTACTTACTTCATTTAACTATATACATTTTTGAATAACTAAACTACATACATTATTGAATTAAATGAAATATCATTATGAAATAATTTACGAGAGTAATAAATGGTAGGTATAGTAGTGATCGGATCTTTTTGGTGTATACTGGCAGGTTATAAGGTAATTTGGAAAAGAGACGGTTTGTTGACAGGAATTGATAGCTGGAAAATAAAACCAGTATTTTGTTTATTGATAATAATAATGTAATTTCTTGAAAATGAAAGTGTTTCAATGACAATAATTAGTTTGCATGAAACGGTCCCTACAGTACCTACCTAGTAAGACTTACCTACATTGTAGGTAATTTCCTTACCCGACTGCGCCATGACTTACAAATAAATATAACTTGTATGTTTAAAATAATATTCTGTTATTGAATTATGTAAGAATAATTAGCAGTCTTTTTTTTACAAGCTTTTAATTAACTTGCAACATAGGTATATAACTTTGTTTGTTCGGTTGGAATCTTGAAACTCAATTTTGAAGCAGATATCTTCAACCGGTTGATCTGAAATTTTGTATAAACTTCTTCTTCGGCGCTACACTCTTGACAGAGTGGTCGTGGTCGTCACATCAGGATTGGTGGCGCGCTTCACAATACGCCGCCATTCGTCCCGCACTGCGGCCTTTCTAGTGCACTCGTGAAGTGGACCGTTCAGTGCCGCTTTTATTTGGTCAGTCCAGCGCATTGGTGATCTGCCGCGCGCCCTTACGCCCTCGACTTTGCCCTGCACCACCAGTCGTTCCACTGACACATCTTCTCGGCGTGAGATGTGGCCAAAGAAAGTTAGAATACGACCTTGTACGATGGAAGACAGACGTTGTTTGATGGACAGTTCCTGGAGGACGGATGCATTGGTTCGGAATTGTGTCCACTGTATGCCAAGCATTTTCCTCCAGCACCACATTTCTAGAGCGTCTGTCTTCTTTTTCTCACTCTCCCGCAAGGTCCACGTCTCAGCACCATAGAGGAATATGGGAAACACTAATGCCCTGACGAGTCGTGTTTTCGTGGCTTTTGTGATGTTCCTGTTTCTCCATATTTTTTGAAGTTTGTCCATAGCTGACCTCGTGATTGCCATGCGCCGCTTGACTTCATCTGCACATCCACCGTTGCCTGAAATCAGTGATTCAAGGTAGATATATGACTGAACGACATCGCAGTTCGCGATTTTAGTAATTTCTGGCAAGTTGTTATTAGCACGATCGACAATCATAATCTTGGTTTTACTGCGATTTATTTTCAGGCCAAAATCACGACTAACTTGCTCCATTTTGCTTAGCAGAGATTCCATGTTACTGGCGCTTGTTGCAAACAGAGTGGTGTCATCCGCATACCTCAAATTGCAAGTCTTATAGCCTCCAATACTGATTCCGTCTGACCAATTCTCGAGTGCTATTCTCATAATGAGTTCTGTGTAGATGTTAAACAGTATCGGAGACACAATACAACCTTGTCGGACTCCGGCGCTGGGGTGGAAATGGTCCGATAAAATGTCGTCCGCTCTGACTGAGGCTGTTCCGTCTTCGTATAGTGTCCTCAAAAGGTGAACAAGGTGTTTTGGTGTTCCCATGTCCAGGAGAGTCTCCCAAAGTACTGGCCACCTCACCGAATCAAATGCTTTTGAGAAGTCCACAAAGCAGATGTAGGTTGGCTTATTGAACTCCCTAGCCTTTTCAATGATTTGGCGCACATTAAGGATCTGTTCACGGGTTCCTTTTCCTTTTACGAAGCCAGCTTGTTCCGGGGCAATTTCCCTGGATAGGTACGCTTTCAATCTCTCATTCAAAATATGCAGTAATATTTTGCTTGCATGTGAGATAAGAGCAATGAGGCGGTAGTTACTGCATATTTTAGTCGAGCCCTTTTTGTGTAGAGGCACAAAGACAGTGTGAGTCCGTCCATTCTTGGGGCCAAGTTCCTGTTTCCCAGACTTTGTTACACAGGGTATGAAACACTTCTACACCATACTCTCCCGATGCTTTGATGGTTTCAATCGGTATAGCATCCCTTCCTGTGGCTTTTCCGTTCTTAAGTTTTTTTATGGCGGCTCGAATTTCATCTTTAAGAATAGATGGCTCTTTTTCTTCGTCCTTGGGCTCTGTTGGAGGAAAGTTATGAGCGTGGGGGTCTTTAAATAATAACTGACAGTACCCCTTCCAAGCCTCAGCTATTGCGCCTATTTCAGTCAGGAGCTGGCCTTGAGGATTCTCTACAGCCCATGTTCTAGAAGAAAGAGTCTTTGTGATGGATCTTATCTTGTGGTGCAGGTCTCCTGTTTCATGTCGGTTTGCATGAGCTTCAACTTCTGCACACAATTTCTGAAGATAATTATTGCGATCACATCTGCAGGCCTTTTGTATAAGAGCAGACATTTTATTCAAGCTTCTTGTATCGACGCCAATAGACTTCATGTTTCTTCTTTCTTCTACAAGGGCTAAAGTTTTATCACTAATCCATTGTTGACGTTTGTGAACCGATATAGATTGTTTCGATTGTGTCACAGCGGTTTCAAGAAATTCTTTTGTCTGACACCACAGCTGATCCGGGGAAGCAGACTGATGATCATTGTTAGTCCATTGATGCCAGTTTTGCTTGATCGCAGCCATAAATTTAGATTTATCCGCTGGCTGGATCCTCGTCGGCTTCTCAATCTTTCTAGCAGCTCTGAGCTTAAGCTGAACTTTCGTTACTAGGAATTGGTGATCCGATCCACAATCAGCTCCAGGTAAGGTATGAACATTCCTTATAAAAGTTTTCCATCTTGAACCAATCATGATGTAATCAATTTGGTTCCGATAATTGCCGTTAGGTGACGTCCATGTATATATTCTTCTAGGATGATTTTGGAAAAAACTGTTCGATATCACCAAGTTGTTCTCAGAGGCAAACTGTATAAGGCGTTCACCTCTTTCATTTCGCTGTCCCAGTCCGAATTTCCCTACACATGGGCTAATCAGATTTGCATGTGCTCCTATCTTCGCGTTAAAATCGCCCATTATGATTAGGAGTTCTCTCTTAGGGATTTTAGCTATGGTTGATTCCACTTCAGTATAGAAAGCCTCCAGTTCTGCATCGCTTGATGTACTAGTTGGTGCGTACAACTGTATAATGTTCAAATTGATCGGCTTCGCTTTCAGTTTAATACTCAGCACTTGATCGCTTACAGTTTCATATCCCATTACACAGTTATTGGTTTTGTTAGGTAGGACAAAGGCTACGCCGTTTCGGCAGTTGTCGTTGTTCCCAGAGAAGTAGAGTGTGCGATTCAGTTTTAAAGTGGCCATTACCTTTCCAATGGGTCTCGCTTAATCCACAAACGCTTATTTGTCATCGCTCTAATTCTTTTTCAAGAATGTCCAGCTTGCCAGGTTGAAGCAGACCGCGCACATTCCACGTACCAATCTTCTGGAGCTGTCGTATCTTCACTGTAGAAGAGATTCCAGTAGTATGATTTCCATGTGATGCCTGGTCTCCTACACCATCATGGCCGGTAGCCAATTTCACACCGTCTGCCCCGGACACAGAACGGCGCCGGTTGCTAAGCGGATCGTAGGGCCACCATTTTTTCCTATTTTGTACCTTCATGACGACTTTCTGTGGGAAATGTAGTGCAGTAGTTTCCCCTTGCTTTCTGCACCAGACATTTTAGAGGTTATTTGGACCTCAAGGTCGCTGAAGCCTCTTCCGACCGGTTGCCCGGTCGTGGGTGTGGTTATACCGCCAGTGCTCGGTCGCCAGAGCCTCGTCAGTTATCTAGCAGGAAGCACCACGACGACAGGGTCATCGCCGTCAGTATGACGCGTGCAGGTGAGGTTGACACTTGGGCCGGTTAAGATGTTATTTACCGTTCGCCCCTTGCTCCCCTTGTATAAACACGTTTTGATTAAAAAGCACGGTTAGCTGTGTGACGTCATTCTAAATCCAACATGGCGTAATAGTTATTTTTAATAACTTCCTACGATATGGGTATATGGGCTTGCGGAGAATCTTTACATATAAAATAAAATATTTACAATCACAAAACTAAAGAGTAATTCAATTATGTAGATGAAATTAAAATACTGTAGGCGGGCGGCCCTGCCGCGTGTTAACGCAGCGTTCGGCCGTAGGCATTT